CAATAACTTGGGCTTTTTACTAGGTAACTCTTACATTTGAATTAACCCATATGTTGTGTGAGGGAGAGAGGGCCTGCTTTTGGTCCCGGCCGCCCTGCTAGCTTACACCTGAAATAATCACACAGAAATTATATTAATTAAACCACTGCCTGGCCCATTATCTCTAGCTTCTTATTGGCTAATTCTTACATCTTAATTTAACCCGTTCCTGATAATCTGTATATTGCCACATAACTGTGGCTTACCTGCAAGATTCTAACCAGAGTCTGTCCCAGGCAGGAGATCCATGGCGTTCTCAGTCTGCCCTTTGTGCAAGCTTTCAGTTCTGTCTACTCTGCCTACCTAAGTGCTGCCTTATCAAAAGTCCAAGGCAGTTTTTTTTATTCAACCAATGAAAGCAACACAAAGACAGAAGTCTACAATACCCATATTTCTTATCTGTTTTGCCACATGGCTTGATACCTTTTCTCAGTATAGCACACCCATTTTGCTTCAGTCTGCATCTCCTGGCAACTCCTGACTCTGCCCTTCTTCCTCCCAGCATCCTCTTAGTCTGGCTGTCCTGCCTATACCTTCTGTTTAGCTATCAGCTGGTTAGCTTTTTATTAACAATGAGAGCAGTACATGTTTACAGTGTACAGAGATTGTTCCCCAGCCCCAAGCTCAGTCACTCATTTATACCACAGTGCCCACATTTGGTTGACTCTACATATTGTGACCAACTGTTCCTGCTTACCAGAACCTTGGTACTGCAATCTGGTGGTACATTGTGCCCTTCCAGAAAAATGCTGTCCTAATAAGTTTCCTGATGGTTACAGTGTCTATCTAACTCTACTGTCTGAGAGGGAGGTGCCCCTTTCACCTCAAGGCACAAAAACCTACTTTGTATATGGAAACACAGATGGTGTCACTTTGGACACAGTTTCTTGGTAATTCTATTATAGACAGGAAAAATGTTCCATGCTTTATTGGAATAGGAAATCCAGTGAGTGTTGGCATTTGGTATGGCTTCTACTTTGATCATGGGCTGCTATTCAGTGTTTATGTAGAGGGTTATGCGGTGGAGGAAGGGAGTTCCATAACTGAGAATTTTAACCTCTGTAATGTCTCCTTTTGGGACTAAGGCAGACTCTTTACTGTAAGCACCTATAAAATATAATCAAGAGCATATTAAATACTTTCAACACACAATGTCAGAGAATATACTTTTCCATTCCAAAGGGGAGAAAGAAAGCATAGTAAAGAAATATTGGATAAAAGCAATATGGAGACTAAACACGGCAAAGTCCAAATCCTGTAGCTCCATACCTAGTGTCATTGGGCTTAGCTGGCCCTTCCCCTCCAGTTTTGCTCCCTGCACCACACATCCCTCTCATGCTCCATTTCTCTGTGCAGTTCTCCTTGGCAAACACCCATGGATCTGGCAAGTCTCCATGCAACCCAGGCTTCAGTTTCACAGTTTCATGCAATGAACTCTCAGGGCTTCTAGCTCTTGCAGGGTTTTTCTTACCATATACTACTGCCTATCCTCCTTAGCCTTCCTTAACCACAGAGGAAGACTCTACTATTCTTCATTTCAGAACCCTGTGGGTGACAGTTCCAAGTCTGGATGCCTCCTTGAATTCTGTTCGCAGGATCTTTCCTTTGTTGTTGCTCTTTAGAAACAGAAAATTACTTAACCCTTCCCTCCTACAAGATGGAAGATTAGCTGAGTGGGGTCTTTCCCTGAGGACACCCTCCCTGTATTCTAGTTTGGACCAGGCCTTTTATTAATTTCCTTATCTCTTTCAGCATTTTGGGTTCCAACATTAAATTTCTCTAGTGCTGTTTTTTTCCTCAAACATTTTATATTAATTTTTGTTCTACCTGCTCATTTTTATTGTATGTTTGCATAAGGGTATCACTAGTAACCACATGAGAAAGTCAGTATTAGCCTGTCTTAAAATTGCTATGCCAGTTAAATTTTGGGGGGTTTCTATTGCTGTGAAGAGACACATACCTCCAACAAGGTCACACCTCCTAACAGTGCCACTCCTTATATGCTTATGGGGGCAAATTATATTCAAACTACTAAAATTGCCTGGCACGAGTGAGAAGGAAACACCAAACATGCAACAAACACGCTTAGAAATTTATTAGAGGGGCATGCACAGGCCTGTGGAATTGGTGTGCAGAGAGAGAAAGATGGCACATCTATCTTTTTAAAAGCTGCCTAGTACAAAGAACAGGGATTGGCATGACTACGTCATATGCAGATGATGCAGACGATGGGCTCATGCATGCATACAAGTGCTTAGCTGAGTCAGTGGATGTAAACACACATGCGGGCACATGGGTCACATTGGGAGGGCCCTTTAACATTCAGGCACTTTTGCCTGAGGGTTTCTGTGCATATGCATGGCTCTAGAACTTGGAAGTAAGCCTTATTTGTCATTGAATAATTATAACTACCACAGAACTTAACCCCTTACTCTTCAATTTATCTCAGTCATATTCATTTTTTAAATGCACACCAACTCTTTTTTTTAACTTTGTTTTATGTAGATTGATGTGAGGATGTCACATCTTCTGGAACAGAACTACAAACAATTGTGAAGTGCTATGTAAGTGCTGGGAACTGAACCCAGGTTTTCTGGAAGAACAACCAGTGCTCTGAACCACAGAGCCATCTCTCTATCCCTCAGACAGGTTCTTAATACAAGGGCAGGAAGCAGCCCATTCTTTGTCAAAATATCACAAAAATGGTCTCTATCCCCATTACTAATATTGTTGCTCTCTGAGACCTCTTGAGGTGACCCCCATGGTCCACAGCACTACTGCCACACTCCTACTAAGATGGCCCATTAAGCTCAGCACTCAGTGTTCCACCATTTTCCTCTTCCAAAGCCCCACTGTCTTTTACATTCCTCCAAAACAAAACAAGGTCAGGCCTGTCAAGCTCTAGCCCACTCCCTGGTACCAACTTCCATGTTAATTACTTTTCCCTTACTGCGATGAAACACCATGAGCAAAGGATCTCATAAAAGCATACAGTTTTTCTTATAGTGTCAGAGGGTTAGTGTCCATGATGACAGCAAAGACATGAATGGCAGGAACAGCTTAGAGGAAGCCACAGCCATGAGGAAGAAAGAGACCACAGTGGCAATGGCATGGTTTTTGGAAACCTCAAAGCCTACATCCAGTGACACACCTCCTCCACTAAGGCCACACCCCCAATCCTTCCCAGAGGCTTCCACCCACTGATGACAAAGTCATCAATCATATAGACCCATGGAGGCCATTCTCCCAACCACCACAGGTACTATCTTCGTCTGTGAGACCTCAGAGGATTCTTTGATGTTTGTTTGTTATTTTCTGCAGGTGAATCATTTGATTGACTTTGTGCCTCAGTTGCACCCATTTTAGAAGTCACAAAACTGAGTCCATGAATGCAGCTCACACACTTACTTAAGGTCACACAGGGAGAGGGAAAAGCATGAAGTAAAAAGAAAACAACTTGAACACTATTATTTTCTCTCCTAGCTATTCCTGGGAGACACAAACTTCATTTCTGTTAGACAAATAAGTCCATAATATTGTCTTGGAAAGTATGGTGAAACATTGGTCACTGCCTGCTCTTCACAAGGAATTAATTCCATCATGGTTTCTACCCTGTAGATTAGCATTCCAGATAGAACTAAGTTCTTGCTCAGCAAAAATGACTGTCTTTCATTCTCAGTGTTACAACACTAACACAAAAGATCTCAAACTCACCACATTCCAGGTTCCTTGAATTTCAAGGTAATTGTGCAAATCAGAAAACCAGAGGTGCTTTTGTTTTCATTACTTTTCTCATTGCTATGACCAAATACCTAAAGAGAAATGGCTTACGGGGAGGGGGATTTACTTTGGATCCTGACTTGAGGTATTCTCCTTTGTGGCATGAACACATACACACCATTGGGAGCAGTTTGTAGCCATGGTAGCTGGGTGTGAGATTATTGCTCATATCTTGTGATCAGAAGGCAGAGAGAGTACATGAAGTGGATGGTGCCATAAACTCAACTCATCCCTCAGAACTTACTTCTTGTAGTTTGGCCCCATCTCATAAAGCATTCTACAATCTTTTCCAACAGCACCATCAGCAGCAGACCAAGAGTCCAGACACATGAGTTGTCAGGAACTCAAAGTGTTAAGGGTTGCTTTTTGAACATTCCCAATTAGAGCAGTCTCTCACCATTTCTCAGGGATCAGCATCAACAAAAATATCTTTTTATAGAGTAGAGGCCATAGGGATTTAAAAATATAGTAAAGAGTATGAAGATGCGAATGGAAATAATAAACCAGAGAAACAAATACTATAGTATCAGGAAAGAATTCCAATGAGGAATGAAATTTGCCCCTCATTTACATGCCAGTTGCTTTAAATACCCCTGACCCTAAATGATAGGAGCAAACAAAAACTACATTAACATGATACAAAGAAATGTACCTACTTATTTGAAGGTTGTGGTCTACATCCCTAGTTAAATGTTCTGTTGCCAGAACAAAACAAGTCACTCTTACACTCTAGACCAAAACACTCTGTAGGCAAACCACTCCCTAGGTAGAACCCAAAGTTATCTCCATATAGGAACTGGACCCTTATCAGTGATTCCTATGTAAATTACCCCTGTGCACAGTAAACTTAGGCATTTGGCATGTGGCTTTCATGTATCAAAGATGACCCATATCTCTCTCTGTCTCTCTCTCTCTGTCTCTCTCTGTCTCTCTGTCTGTCGGTCTGTCTCTCTGTCTCTTGTGTGTGTGCATGTCTCTGTATGTGTGTGTGTGTGTGTGTTCGTGTTTTTGTCTATCTCTGTCTCTGTGTATGCTTTCAAAGCTCCAGGCCTGGTTTCCAAGAATGGCAGAATAATTCTTGTGGTGGCACAAGCACTACAGGACGATTTTGGGTTTTTACAGTTATCCATTGCTCTACCCACTCCTTTGAGAGACATGGCAGTTTGTCTTTGTTCTTTCAGATGGACTTCATGAAGATGAGGCTGGTTTGTGCTTTCATGCTGATGATGGGCACTCTTTGCTTCTACTTCAGCATGGAGCCTTTTGAGGAACTGCCATTAGTTCTCAAGAAAGGTCACAAGAATTTCCTCCAGCTTCCAGATATAGACTGTAAGCAGAAGCCACCTTTCCTTGTGCTGCTGGTAACTTCATCCCACAAGCAGCTGGTGGCTCGCATGGCCATCCGCAAGACATGGGGTAGAGAAACAGAGGTGCAGGGAAGGCATGTGAAGACCCTCTTCCTTCTGGGGGCCTCAGATAGCCCTGATGAGATGAATGCCACAGCTCAGGAGGGCAAGCAGCACCATGACATCATACAGAAGGATTTCAAGGACGTCTATTACAACTTGACCCTGAAGACAATGATGGGCATGGAATGGGTCCACCACTATTGTCCTCAGGCAGCTTTTGTGATGAAGACAGACTCAGATGTGTTTGTGAATGTTGGCTATCTGACTGAACTGCTGCTGAAGAAAAACAAAACCTCCAGGTTCTTCACAGGCTACATAAAGTCCAATGAACTTCCCATCAGACAAAAGTCCAGCAAGTGGTTTGTGAGTAAATTTGAATATCCCTGGGACAGGTACCCACCTTTTTGTTTTGGAACAGGTTATGTCTTTTCTAGTGATGTGGCCAGACAAGTATACGATGTCTCAGATAGAGTTCCATTCCTGAAGCTGGAGGATGTGTTTGTTGGGCTCTGCTTGGCCATACTAAAGATCCAGCCTGAGGAACTCCACACCGAACAGACCTTTTTCCCGGGTGGCTTAAGCTTCTCTGTGTGTCACTTTCAGAAAATTGTGACCTGCCACTACGTGACGCCCCAGGACTTACTCACTTACTGGCAGGCACTAGAGAACTCTCAGGAACAGGATTGTTCTTCTGTCTGAGGGGAACCTCTGGTGCAAACTTCCAATAACCTTTGGTGATACTTTGGGAATGTCTGAGATGGCCTTGCTGGGAACTGTCATGGGAACAGAGAGAAGAAGGAGTAAGGCAAAGAGTGCCCTGCATATACTAGAGTGGATGTACACACAAACAGAGTTAAGACTTGTTTCCACTTAGCACCCTCAGAAATAACAGATCTCGACTTTCAGGCCTTTGCACTATGTTCTCAATGTTTGAGATATGCCTTCATCTGCCCATTTCAGGGCTTGGTACATATATGAAGCCATGGATGTAATCATTCCCATTTTACAGGTTAGGAACCAGCAGTCATGGCCACTTACTTATCCAAAGATTCCCATGAAGGTTTAAGTCACAAAAACAAACCCATACCAGTTTGGAGTTATGATTAATAAAAGGGTTATTTATTAAATGGGAAAAAATTTAACAGATCACTGTCCCAGACAACAGCCCTCTGCGTGATCAGAAACAAAGTTTAATAGCTGGAAGCTGGAAGCAAGAGAGAGAGTGCATGGCTACAGCTGCTTTTTAAAGCAAAAGAGACCATGCCCAAGTGGGCTGGTATCTTAAAGGCTATTGGCTGAAGGAGCAGAAGGAGCTCCTGCAGCACCTCCTTCTTTTGTTAAAGTAAGAGAGTTCCAAACCCAGTACAAAACAATATAAACTAGGAAAAGATATCAAGTATAAGATTAGAATTACAATCAGCATAAACAATATTAAGCAAGGAACATATGCTAAATGTTTTAATAAACATTCTATCCTAAGGAGTCTAAGTCTTGTATAGGAAATGGCTTGGCTAGATCATAAGACGATGGTAACTATGTGTAGTAATATGAGCGGTGGGGCTGCATCCCCAGCACCCCGGCTGCCTGCTAGCTTATGCCCCAAAATAACAACACACAAACTTTATTTATTTAAACACTGCTTGGCCCATCTAATCTTCAACCCTATCGAAGGTCTAAGAATGGAGATCATATTACTTGAGCAGGAAGGATGTACAATCAAGTAGGTTCCAGAGCAAGCAATATATGACAGAGATAATTAGCTACCTGAGCAATCACCCAAAAATCTTATTTTGCAATGTTGAAAAAAACCAACTTTGGCTGTGGCCTAGCATAATTGACAGACCATTTTCAGAGGCAGGGATTTTTTCAAAACTGTCTTTTCCTGTCTTGGCCAGATTTGACAGTCCTGCATATCCATTTCTGGATATCATGTAACTTGTCAGTGGTTGAGGCATTGTCAGTCAGTTCCTTGCCCAAAGGACAGTTTTGCCAAGAAGAAAACAAGCTCCAAGTGGAGTGTCTTTGGTGCTCAGCATTCTCTTGGAATAGATTGGTGCTGTCAGGAGCAATCATGTCTCATGTCAAGAGAACCCTAAGTTATTTAAATGCCATATTCTACAGATCCTTGAAGTAGTTGAAGATTACCTATCTAGACAGAATACAGTCTCTATATTTAGGATATTAAATCTTATCTGTGGTTTAATTAGCTGGATTATGTGCAATAACAGTTACCTGTAAGTAGGTGTCACAAGCCACATACAAAACTAACCCAGAGGGGCATAATGGTGTACGTGAACTCACATAAATAAAATCTGAAATCTGATTTTATTGTGAAATGCTGTAAGATAATCACAGATTGTGTGCTCTGCAGATGTCTCTAGAGCAGTAGAATAGGCAAATGCAAACATATCATTAGAAAGCTTCAGAACATTGTCTGCTATGTTCAGCTAGTCCGGTTTTATCCCATGCTTTTTCAGACCCTGGCCAGCTGGCCTTGGTGAGTTCCCAATAGAACATCCCCATTGTCTCAGTGTGTGGGTGCACCCCTCATGGTCCTGAGTTCCTTGCTCGTGCTCCCTCTCCTTCTGCTCCTGATTTGGACCTTGAGATTTCTGTCCGGTGCTCCAATGTGGGTCTCTGTCTCTGTCCCCTTTCATCGCCTGATGAAGGTTAATAAGGTGGGCGGTCCTTGGGCTTCCCACAGGTCAGGGAACCCTGATTGCTCTTCGAGCTGATGAGGAAGGGGGACTTGATCAGGGGAGAGGGAGGGAAATGGGAGGCGGTGGTGGGGAGGAGGCAGAAATCCTTAATAAATAAATAAATTTAAAAAAAGAAAAAAAAGAGAAAGCTTCACGGTGGTGGCGCACGCCTTTAATCCCAGCACTTGGGAGGCAGAGGCAGGCGGATCTCTGTGAGTTCAAGACCAGCCTGGTCTACAGAGCTAGTTCCAGGACAGGTTCCAAAGCCACAGAGAAACCCTGTCTCGAAAAACCAAAAAAAAAAAAAAAGAATAGCTGACTCAAACCAGGGAAGCCACATCTCACCCAGATTTCTGCAGTGTGCCCTGGCAGGAGGCAAACTGTAGGGTGTATGGGGACTTCAAGCTAGTCCGAGTAGTGTAAAGAGAAAATACAAAGAATTGTGGCAAGAAAAGCCACTGCATGAGGTTCTATATTGAACTGCTGGCTCCACACATGGGCTATGGCTGAGGGAAGGCTTGTGCCAAGCCAAGTTTGTAGCAGGCAGCCAAGCTGGGGAGGTTCCAAAACCAAATGTTGGGCTCCAGATGAAGGCATAAGTCACAAAACAATCCCACACCAGTTTGGAGTTATGATTAATAAAAAGGTAATTTATTTAAGGAGAAAAAACATACAGATAACTGTCCCAGACAACAGCCCTCTGTGTGATAAGGAATGAAGTCTAACAGCCAGAAGCTGGAAGCAAGAGAGCAAGAGCACACGACTGCTGCTGTTTTTTAAAGCAAAAGAGACCATGCCCACGTGGGCTGGTATCTTAAAGGCTATTGGCTGAAGGAGCAGACTGAGCTCCCGTAGCACTCCCAGTCTGCAGATGGAGCAGGAATGAGAAACAAGTGCTATCATAATTCATTTGGTGACCCCCAACTGAGTGTCCCGTTCTTTGGAAGAGGGTGTAATGGAAGAAACTTAGGGTGGGTGTTTTAAAATTAACTAGCATCCTTCAGGCCTTTTCCCGAGTGCCCTGCTCCTCACTTCCCAATTCTTCTACTTTTTAAATGCCAAGTCTAGGATGAACCAGCTTTCCCAGGCCTCTTGGCACCCAATGCATCTTCAACATGAGACATGCATGCCTGCAGACACTAGATCAACTCCATGTTAGAAGGAAACTAGGATATATGACCATATAAATTAGGTTGAGAAACCATAGCTGAATCTTATTGCATAGGCCAAACACACTGCTGAAATCCTAGAGAGGGTTATGTTTCCTCTGAACCTTCTGGGACATCTGGTCTCTGCTGAGGATGTCTGATGGATTGATGGTGATCAGTTATAGATCTGGAGCACTTCAGACCTCTAAGTTCAAACTCAATGGCAGCCAGGCACAGTTAGTGTCTGTATGGGTGTACAGGAACTTTACTGGAACCTGGACTGGTCCAAGTTCCTGGGATGCAGAGCTTGGAGGAAGGCACAGCTGGAGGGCTCTCCCTGAATCTGTGATCCTTCCTGACCCAGAGTCTTCACAATGGGTTTATCACATGGTTATGGATCTACTGAGTGTTTTGGTTCAGAATGTAACCCTTAATGTTTTCAGAGCTGGGTAAAAAGATGGGCTCATGGCCATTTGGCCAATGTCACCAGACACATAATCTTGCTCTATATCATGGAAATTGCTTCCCCCTGATTTTTAATTTTATTTATTTATTAAAAATTTCCACCTTTTCCCCTCCTTCCATTTCCCTTCCACTCTCCCCATTCGCCCTATCCCTCCCTCTCCAGTCCTAAGAGAAGTTAGGGTGCCCTGCCCTGTGGGAAGTCCAAGGCCCTTCCCCCTCCCTCCAGGTCTAGGAAGGTGTGCATCCAAACACTAGGCTCCCAAAAAGCCAGTACATGCAGTAGGATCAAAACCCAGTGCCATTTTCATTGGCTTCTCAGTCAGCCCTCATTGTCAGCCACATTCAGAGTTCAGTTTGATCACATGCTCGTTCAGTCCCAGTCCAGCTGGCCTTGGTAAGCTTCCATGCACCCCTCGCAGTCCTGACTTCCTTGCTCATGTTCTCCCTCACTCTGTTCTTCATCTGGACCTTGGGAGCTCTGTCCAGTGCTCCAGTGTGGGTCTCGGTCTCTATCTCCACCCATCGCCAGATGAAGATTCTATGGTGATATGAGAGATATTCATCAGTGTGGCTATAGGATATGGTCAGTTCAGGTACCCTCTCCTCGGCTGCCCAGGGACTAAGCTGGGGACATCTTGGACACCTGGGAACCCCTCTAAAGTCAAGTCTCTTGCCAACCCTAAAATGGCTCCCTTAATTAAGATATATACTTCCCTGCTCTGATATCCACCCTTCCTCCATCGCAACTGTCCCATTCCCCCAAACTCTCCCCAATTCTCCCCTTCTCCCTTCTCTTTCCCCATCTCCCCTTACCCACACACCACCCCAACCCCCATGATCCCAACTTTAGCCCAGCGATCTTGTCTACTTCCAATATGCAGGAGGATAAATATATGTTTTTCTTTGGGTTCACCTTCTTATTTAGCTTCTCTAGGATCATGAATTATAGGCTCAATGTCCTTTGTTTTTGCCTAGAATCCACTTATGATTCAGTACATACCATATTCATCTTCTTGGGTCTGGGTTATCTCACTCAGTAAAGTGTTTTCTACTTCCATCCATTTGCATGCAAAATTCAAAATGTCATTGTTTTTTACTACTGAGTAGAACTCTAAAGTGTATATGTGCCACACCTTCTTTATCCATTCTCCTAATGAGGGGCACCTAGGTTGTTTCCATGTTCTGGCTATTACAAATAGTGCTGCTATAAACATGGTTGAACAAATCCTTTCATAGTATGATTGGGCATCTCTTGGGTATATTCCCAAGAGTGGAATTGCTGGATCCTGGGGTAGGTTGACTCCCAGTCTCCTGAGAAACTTCCACACTGATTACCAAAGTGGTTGCACAAGTTTACATTCCCACCAACAATGGATGAGTGTTCCTTTACTCCACATCCTCTCCAGCATAGGCTATCATTGGTGTTTTTTATTTTAGCCATTCTGATAGGTGTAAGATGGTATCTTAAAGTTGTTTTGATTTGCATTTCCCTGATCGCTAAGGAGGTTGAGCATGACATTAAGT